TGAATAGCAGTGAATCCATCCTGAGCTTTTCTTTGTTGAGAGACTTTTATTACTGCTAAATTTTACCAAACCTTTAAAGAAGTAACAGCACTGCTCCTGAAACTACTACATGAAATAGAAGGAGCACTTCCAGCCTCATTCTATGAGGCCAAAATCATCCTGATACCAAAACTGCACAAGGATGCAACAAAAAAGAAAAATATAGACCAATGTCTTTCATAAATATAGATGCAGAAATCCTTAATTAAATACCCACAAATCAAATTCAACAACACATTAAGAAGATCATACACCAGGATCAAATTGGTTTCATTCCAAAGGATCCAAGGATGCTTCAACATATATAAAACAATAAACATAATACACCACATAAATAGAATCAAGGATAAAAAAATCACATTATCATCTCAATTGACTCAGAAACAGACTTTGACAAAATTCAACATTCCTTCATGATGAAAGCCTGGAAGAAACTAGGTAGAGGGATCAGATCTCAATAGAGTAAAGGTCCTATGTGACAAACCCACAGCCCAACCAACATCACTCTGAATGGGGAAAAACTGAAATCATTTCCTCTAAAATCATTTCCTCAGGAACTAGGCAAGGATGTCTCCTCTCATCACTCCAATTGAATATAGCACTTGAAATTTTATCTAGAGCAATTAGGTAAGAGAAAGAAATAAAAGATGCACAAATAGGAAAGGAAGAAGTGAAATTATCTTTGTTTGCAGATAATATGATTTTTTTACTTTAGATGACCCTAAAAACTCCACCAAAAGACTTTTTTTTTAGAGCTGATAAATAAATTCAGTGAAGTTACAGGATATAAAATCCATATTAAAAATCAATAGCTTTTCTATAAAGCAATAATGGAGTTGAGAAAGAAATCAGGAAAACAATTCTATTAACAACAACTCAAAAAAAAAAAAAGAAAGAAAGAAAGGAGGAAAGCAAGAAAGAAAAACTCAAAACCAAAACAAACAAAAAAAACAAACCCTAGGAATCAATCTAACCAAGAGGGTAAAAGAGCTCTACAATGAAAATCTTAGAACACTGAAAAAGGAAATTTAAGAAAATACTAGGAGATGAAAAGAATTTCCATTTCCATAGATAAGTAGAACTAATAGCTATATTACTAAAAGTGATCTACAGACTCAATGCAATCCCTTTCATTATACTTGCAAACTCCATCACAGTACCTGCAAAGTGATCTACAGACTCAGTCCAATCCTCATCATTATTCTGTGAACAATATTATTCACAGAACTAGAAAAAACAATCCTAAAATTCATATGGAAACATGAAAGACTCAGAATAGTCAAAGCAACACTAAGCAAAAAGAGCAAGGTTGGAAGGATCAATAATTTGAAATATTTTTCAAATTATACTACAAAGCCATAGAAACAAAAACAGCATGCTATTGGTGCAAAAATAGACACAGAAACCAATGTTACAGAATATAGGACACAGGAGAAAAAATCCATGCAACTGCAACCCTCTGATTCCAGACAAAGGAGCCACAAATACAGGTAGGAGAAAAGACAGCCTCTTTAACAAAAGGTGCAGAGGAAACTGGCTATCCACTTCCAGAACATTAAAACTGGATCCCTATCTCTTACCTTCTACAAAGTTAATTAAAAATGGATCAAAGACCTAGGTTTATAACCTGAATCTTTAAAACTACTAAAAGCAAACATAAGAAAAATACTTGAAGATCTAAGCATAGGCAAAAACTTCGTGAATAGGACACCAACAGAATAGACAATATCAAGAATCCACAAATTTAAAAAATTAAATGAAAAAAATTTCTGCACAGCAAGGGAAACTAGTAACAGAGTGAAGAAACAACCTAGAGAAGAGGAGAAAATGTTCACCAGCTACTCTTCCAATAGAAGGTTAAGATTTAGAATATATACCAAATTCAAAAACACCAAAAAAATAAAATCAAATTGCCCAATCAATAAATGGGCCAATGAACTGAACAGACACTTATCAGAAGAAGAAGTACAAATGACCAATAAGTATGTGAAAAAATGTTCAACACCTTTAGCCACTAGAGAAATGTAAATAAAAACTACATTGTGATTCTATCTCAGCCTGGCAAGAATGGCTATCATCAAGAATACAAAAAATAGTAAATGCTGGTGTGGATGTGGGGAAAAGGGAACATTTTTACATTGTTAGTGGGAATGTAAATTAGTATAGCCACTATAGGAATCAGTATGATGGCTTTTCAAAAAACTAAAAATAGAGCTACCATTTGATCCAGCTATACCACTCTTTGGTATATACCCAAAGCAATTAAAGTCAGCATACTTTTAGGCTATTGGCAGATCCATGTTTATTGTGGCACAATTCACAATAGTCAAGATATGGAAATAGCCTAGGTGCCATGAACAGGTGAATGGATAAAGAAAATGTGGTATATACACAATGGAGTATTATTTGGCAGTAAAGAAGAATTAAATTTTTTCATTTGCAGGAAAATGGATGGAACTGGAGGTCATCATGCTGAGCAAAATAAGCCAGACTCACACAACTATTGCAATTCTCCCTAATATGTAGAATCTTAAAAAGATCACATAAAAGTAAAGGGAGACTACTAGACAAGAGGAAGGGAATAAAGGGGGAATGGAGGGCTAGGGATTTAGCTCAGTGGTGCCTTCACCTGCATTGCATGGGCAAGGTACCGAGTTCGATCCCCAGTACCAAAAAAGGGGAGGGGGCAATGGATATGATCAAAATATATATAATTTGAAATCAGTATTTTGTAAAATTAATAGGGACTAACAATAAAAGAAAAAATAAGAAGAAATTCAGGAGAATAAAGATTAGGATACCACTTGTCAAAAAAGAAGGTATAAATGTGAGAAAAAGTATAAGTAATGAAAAGAAACCCTAATGATGACTCTTAAAAGTGTTTGGCAGAAGATATAAGACAAAGATTGTCAGCAAATTGACTACTCAGAGACGTAAAACCCTGGGCTTTTACAGTCATATCAGTCCTAAAACACTAAACCTTAAAATATGCAGTCCCAACTTCTTATTGGTCAAATTATCATTCATTTTATGGTAATTTCCATAGTGCCAGATCAAATAAACCAAATTATTTGTTTATTTCGAATGCTTGCTATGAATTACGAAAGTGTGTTTTGTATCTCAAAAATGTCTTTGTCATTGAAAAAGCATTTAAAAAAAACCCAAATGGGTGCTAAGCACCCAATGATAAATGTAAATGTACTGTATACCTAAAATGTACCAATAAAAGAATTTAAGGGAAAAAAAACCCGCAAATGGATGAGCTAAGTAGTTGGCATCTAAAAGAAATAATTCAATTATTTTCATAAATCTGTTACTTAGAAGCTTGACTATCATGATTTCTAATTCCTATAAAATTTGTTCCAAAAATGTTTCCAAGGTGGTGATAAAACATAATTACTTTCTTGTACTTTTAGCAAATTTAATATCACATATAAAGTGAAATTAGCAATTTGATCCCGTAACCAAAAGAAATTAGAAATGAAAATAATGACTGGTATTATTAATGACATGTATTTACAGGGGGGCCCCAGCTTGAGGGATAAACTTGATTACTATGCTGCTGTTCAGACATATGTGGGCATCAGACAGTGAGGGGGGCTGGTTAGAAGTTTGGGGGTGCTAAGAACCCTCCTTAGGAATGTCTGTTAAACTGAGCTCAAGTTAGGAACAAAAAAACCTATTCCTTGGCAGGAAGTAGACATTTTGAGAACTGGAGGACTAATTTGTTGGTAATCTTGAATAAAACAGAACCATCTATTTAATTGCAAATGTGGTGGCACAGTTTGGCACTGGGAAATAAACAGCCAGCTCTGGGACCTCGCTACCAAGGGAAAGACTGCCTTTCTCTCCTGCCACAGGGGCCACATGGAGGAATTAATGGCCTGAGGACTAGTGACCACTCATGTTTTGGGTGAATCAGCACAAAGGTTTGGAGGCTGCCATCCTGGCAGGGCAGACTGCTGCCTCCAGAGTGGAGTCTACTCCTGGAAGTTCCATGGCAGCCTCAGAGTCTGCTGGGCTCAGGGTGGTGGAGGAGGACCCTCCTACAGCATAATGTACCCAGAAACATAGGCAGAATAGCAGCATGGGCCTGTGGACTGTTGTGATTGCTCAGGAAGACAGCACACATAGGACACACTTACAGACTTCAAGAAATGCTTGGGCTGGGAATAGTTTTTAGGGGTTGATTCTCCACCTTACCATGTGGGTGCTTGTTGCACTGAAAATATGGGCTGAATTACTCGTGATCTCATGGGTTTTTATTAATAAGGATGGAGGAAATTTGAATGCATAACATTAAATACTATACATTGTTCTATGATTCCAAATCCACAAAGCATGGTTTCTGATATATCTGAACCAACGGAAAAAAGACAAGACAAGTTGAATATTTTGTGTGGACTAACTTAACCTTCTCTTTCATTCAAATATTGGAACAATTAACAGAGATGTCCTGATTTCAATTTTTGTGGTAGTACTATTTAATGCATTTGTAAGTCATTCTCAAATGATATTCACATTTAAGAAGTCTATACACATTTTCTTGTGTTTCTTTTCTTGCTTTTGGAAATCAAAGAGGAAGAGTTTTTCTGTCTAACTCTGACAGCTGCAAGACCTGTTCCACTTGGTCACAGGGACAGTCTCTCTACAGGTGGTAGATGGACAAGATGACCAGGAGCATGACAGACACAGTTCTCCAAACTGAGAAATGCAGAGGTAGAAGGAAGCTTACAGCTCATCTAATGAGTCCAAATACTTCATCTGCCAAGTGACGAAACATTGACTCACCCAGCCCAACTGACCTTACATATGTTTACAAGTCAACTAGTAGCAAAGCAGAAAATCAAATATATCCCTCAATACTTTAGACCCCACTTTCCACAAATCATGCATGTCTCATGAAAATACTTTTAAACAATTCATAAAACATGTCCCCAAGCTCAGCCATTGCATTGTACCTTGCAATATGCTCTTTACTATAACTTCTGTGTGGTCAGCAAGGAGATCCGCGTTGGTAATTGCAGCCAGGGACAGGTAGTTAGACATGTTCCTGCACAGTTCCTTGTTGCCTCTGTGGAGGAATTTCACTGCAATGGGGATGGCTAATACCATCACAGGGAGCCGGTTATAATTCTGAGGAAGTACAAGAAAGCAAGAAATAAGTGATTCGTTGTTCATTCACTTACTCATTTTTGCAAAAACATTCACTGAGCTAAGCTCCCAGAATACAGTGAAAACACAGGGCCTGCCCTGTATACATTCTGTCTGGGAACTCTTAGTCTTGTTTGGGAGACTTAAAGGCAACAGGCAGTTGAAAGCATAGGCCAATAAGGGCCACGACAGGCAAAGTACAAGGTGCTAAAGGAGTCAAGAAGCATCTAATCTTATCGATGGTGTTGAGAAGGATTTCCTGGAGGAGCTGATGTCTTACCCAAGACCTAAGGAATGAAGAAGAGATGGTTGCCTGATGGCAATGTAAGGAGTGGAAAGGAAGAGCCAATATGGTGGTGCAGAGGTGAAGGAGCACTTCAAGTATTTTGGGGAGTCATAAATAGCCCTTGGTTGCTGGAGTGTGGTATGTGAGGGGAAACAAGTGGGGAGGTGAGAGGAGGAACATGAGAAGTAAATCGGCATGATTATGAAAGGTCTGGCATGCCAAGCTAAGGACTTTGGAATTAATCTTAAGGGCAATCAGAAGTCATTGAGGAGAGGAACAACTCACCAGATTTACACTTTCAAAAATAACCAAAGGAATGTGGAACAAGTTGCATTCTGACTGTATCTTAAAAACTGCAGTGTTTTTAGAATCAATCAAGGATGAATGGATAAAGAAAATGTGCCATAATACACACAATAGAATATTATTTAGACATAACAAAAAGAGATCACAAAATTTGTGACAACATGGATGGAACTGGAGGGCATTAAGCGAATAAGCCAGAAACAGAAAGACAAATACTGCTTGTTTTCACTTATACAAGAATGTGAAAGCTAAAAAAATTGATTTCATAAACTACTACTACTACTACTATTACTACTACTACTACTATAGATACTACTGTGGTCACTAGAAGGTAGGAAGATGACTGAAGGAGATCAGATAGCAGGTGCCAAAACATAGTTATAAGGGAAGAATAAGTTCTAATGTGCTGCACCATAGAAAGGTGACCTATAGTTCACAGCAATTTATTGTATGTCTCACTAAGAACTAGAGAAGAGGAGTTTGAAGTTTCCAACACAAAGAAATGATAAGTATTTAAAGAGAGGGAAATGCTAATTATCCTGGTTTGATCATTACACATTATATAGACATGCTGAATTATCACATTGTAACCCATAAATAGGTACAATTATTAGGTGTCAATTAAGAAAACCCAGAAAACTCCTAAAATTTTGTAGTTACTGAGGTCCACAAGGAAAAATGCAGTACAAACATAAGACTAAAAACTGAAGAAATTCTGGATCCTAAAATAATTCTTTTCTTGACTTACTTTGTGACTGAACTAAAAATTTTTACATATAATGTACTCTGTTAACATTTAGAATAATATTTGAAATATATAAATTTTCTTAAAAATGCATGGTACATATTCACTACTATCAACCCCACACCTTAGACTGACCCTAGGCAAAAGTTGCACAGTGTAAAATGTGCTTGGGAACTCACTTCATATTATTAGATTATAAATAAATAGGGGTGTTATTTTCTAGTTGTTCCTGGGAAAAGTATATCTTTCCACCCATCGATTATTCCCCTGAGTACCTCCCACAATTCTGGATTTATGGTAGGTCCTTAATAAATAACTGTGAAATTGAATAATGATGAAATATAAATCTATAGTGATAGTCACCTATGGGAACATAAGGTGATGGAAAAAACATCAACTGGAAAAATATCTAATTTCAGCTCTACTACCATCTTGCTGGATGGTCATGGAGACATCACCCAATTCTCTAGATTGCACTTGTAAAAGTGATAATCACCATCTTCTCCAATCTCTGATAAAAAATCCTAAAACAGACATGATATCAACTGCCAGACACAGGAAGGCTGCTGAGGGACCACTGACCTTGTAAAGAGGGCGAAGTAATGATCATTATCCAAATGGAGGTAAACATTTAGATAATCACTATCTAGATTTAATCTGTTATTGCTATGGTTTCCTCCCCTACCCCAATCTCAGCATTACTAGTTTCTTCCCCAATGTCTACTCATCTGTTTTTTGGAGACTCTACCATAATGCCTCTTTGGGGAACTGTCTAGGTGCTTCTAATGACAGCATTTCCACCCTTGGTCTCAGGAGTAATTAAGTGACCTAGATACTAGCCTGCCAGAGAATCACATTTCCCTGGTCCAAGTGATGGGTTCAAGGGGAGGCATGTTACTAAATTATAATTGAGGAGTCATGAAAGGGCTCTATGAAAGGAATCCTCTCTCTTTTTCTCTTTTGCTGGATTCAGGTGTCAAGAAGGGTGGATTAAGAATAAGTGCTGCCATCATGTGACTAAGAAATTCAAAGAAGCATAGATTATCTAAGAGACCAGTTTAGACAAATCAGGTCCAGGTTGTGGTAATATCATTTGAGCTTCATGCTCTAAGTTATGCCAGCGGCCAGTTCTTTCCTAAATTTTTCCAAATAAGCCAATTAAATCTCCTGTGCTTACGCTCCCCTCTTCCCTTGTCTCTAGAAGCAAAAATATACCTGGTAAATCTTTAATCTATTCCTGTACTTTCATCTATTTTTCCAGACCCATGGGTCAACCTAACCCCTAGGAAGAGAAAATAGGTATTCTACAACCTATCTTGATCTCACTATTAACGACTTGTCAGCCACTTTGAAAGTTCCAACCCTATTGTTGGTGGCAATCTTGTCTCTACTGCAGTTCTATTCAGTAGATCTTTGTTTTATATATCTTAAAATTTTTTTCCAGTACTGGGGATAGAACTCGGGGTCTTGCACTTGCCAGGCAGGTGCGGTGCCACTGAGCTACTTCCCAGGCATCTTAAAATTCTTAACACAAAGTATTAGGACTGTGGTCTATAGCCAGACTTGCCTGATGGCTTCTCTGAATGCCTCTGTTAGAGTGTCTCCCCTCATGGTGAATTAAATTGGGCTCAACTGGGAAGGTCATTATGGATGTGATGAGCTATGAGCCCTTCCTGGGAGGCTGGCTGATCCCCTCTCCCAGGAAACTGGACATATGCCTGATCATACCACAGAATTGTTTGGCTTTATGGAAGCTAATCCACATCAAAGAATTTCTGAAAGGTTGGTGCATAACAATTATGCCAATGTGTTCATCCACAGTGGGAGACTTTTCTAGGTCATACCTTGGGCGTGCTTTTCACATCATCAGGATACCAAGAAGCCAGACTACAAATCAGAGTGTTCACTCATGGGCACACAATCAGTCAGAACAAAGAGATACTGAGGGATATCTCATCAAGGCTATGGTGATTAAAATAACACTCCTGCCCTGCAACTGAATATCCATCTCTAGTGACCAGAACTTTCTGCTCATCAAATTGAATCTGTGCACCCTCCTCCAGCCCTGCTGAGCAAACCTACAAAATAATGATTCCATACAGAGCAATTTCCTTTTGTTAACATATTCCTCAGATATGTGGCATGTAAGAAGGCTAATTAATTGACCATTTTTCTCAATTATATTCTATCTCTGCTCCCTTGAGGCTACATTCAAGTGATTTCAATAAGGCCACTTAGCTTCCCTTTGAGTTGCTCCTATGGCCAGCCAATTTTTACATTACATGCATATTTTTGATAGTTTAACTTTCTTTTTCTGGTACTGGACAACTGTTCTCAGAACTTTCCAGCAAAAAACTCCATGCCCAAGTTTACCTTATTTACTGTGGATCTTTTGCCAAGAATAAGTTGCAGGTAGAGAGATACATGTCTTCCAGTAGAGGAATATATGTCTCCAAGCACATTTACCTGCAACTTGCTGAAAAACCAAAGTGGTGGCAATAAGAAGTGTATCCTATTAACTGAACACAGGCAAGCCCAGTAAAAGATCAATGGAAATCAGTATTTCCAGCAACTGACATGTTTAAACTTTGGGATAAGTTAGTGATTGCCAGCAACAATGAAAGAACAGGCTGTCTTTACATTCTTTTAAGAACAATTCTAGACATTCTGGAGAAAAACATTCATCAGCTATTAAACTCTCTGAAGAGTGGTTGCATGAGAAAGGTATAAAATCCCCTCCCCCAAACATATAATGTCATTATTTAAAATTTTTTTAACATACTCAATTTTTCTGTTTTCCTCCCAAACATGTCATTTGAAATTCTCTCATATGACACTAAAAGTAAAACACTAAGCCAAGAAAAATTGGTTTATATAAACACGAGGGAATTGCCACCAAAGGCTTTCAATGTCCCCAAAGTGTCAGATGGTTCCTGGCATATCACGAGGCTATGGGCACTGCTGAAGGCAACAGTATGTGAGTAAGGGGCTGGGAAGCCAAGTTGAGGCTCAAGAGAAGAGGTTCCCATGGACTGAACAGATAACAAACAACTTCTTCCGATGGCTGTGCTTTGCTCCCAAAGGCAACTAAAGAAGTTGCCAAGGCAGTAGAACTTAGGCTCAAGAAATTATATTATCTCTGAAACTATTTGGATCAAAGAAATGCTAATGGAACACAGACAAAGAAAGTCCTGTTGTTACAATCTTACAAATAAACCACTTTAACAGCAACTGATAATGCAGAGCTATGCCAGACCTGGCCCCTCAGCACAGACGTGAGCATGTTGGTATGAATATCATCTTGCACATAGTTCAGTGTTCGGGGAACAAACTGAGTGAAATGCAGTACAGACATAAAGTCTTGCTCATGGGGACAGTTACATTTAGCTGTAGAGGTAAAGCCAGAGGGCCTTGTCCCATGGATGCCAAGAATTATATTTCTAACTAGATTAGCACTAGTTTGAGGTTTTGCTGGAGATTTCCCTTTTGAAAATGCGCTTTGGGAATGTTTCCCAGTGTTTTAAAAATGAAAAGAACAAAGCAAAGAAGAAGAGATATCTGAGGTGACAGCAACTAAAAAGCTCTTTGGCTCTCAGGTCTTCACTACAACAAAAGAGCTATAAAAATGATTAAGATCAAGAAATATAGTCAGTCAAACTAATTTTGGATTTATACAAAAAATGTCTGATTCTTAGCAGCACAGGTATATATAAAATCTATCTGGCACATGCACCTACATTTTCCCAGTGGATTTTCTGACAGGTAATAGGGAAGCTGGTTTCAGGGAGCTAAAGGTGGGAGGATTGTCCCAGCCTCCTTTCATTTCATGCCACTGTCTGAGGACTGAATTCTGAAGCCTACTCTGGAGAGAAGTGTGGCTGCTCAGGGAGCTAGAGGACCGTCACCTCTTCGGAGACCATTCAATAAATCTAATTTGAGCACCTGTTATATATGCCAGGTACTTTCTAGCAATTGCACTATGTGAACACTTTATGTGCCATTATCAGCTTTAATCCTCATAGCAGTTTTGGGAAGTATCGCTATCCTTGTTTTACATATGGCAAAACAGAGACTCAGAAAAAGAAAAAAACTTGCCAGTGTCTCATCCATACAAGAACAAGATTCTTAAGACTCTGAAAGCTTTAAGCTCTAAAGTTCTTTGCTCTTCTACCTCTTAGCTGCTCCTGAGGGAATCAGAATTTCAGACAGGGAGATGTGAGGTAATCTGATTCAATTCTTTCTTTCATATAGGAGAAGCTGAGAGATTTGTCTATGGAGACATGATGGGTTGGTAGAAGCATATGGCCCTAGGAAGAGCAAAACAAGAAAACACCAAAAAAAAAAAAAACAACCCCAAAACAAAACAGAACTTATGTATGCATCCTGTATACATATACTGATATTAATTGAGAAAGAATAGAAGGTAACTCTGCAATTTTAAAAGTTATTTTAAGATAAATGTGGTAAGCTCATGAATTTAAAAACCAAGAAAAGAATGGATTCAATATAATTACCAATTAAAAAAGGTATAGCAATGGAAACCTAAAGCAAGTTTGTGTGTAGGCTGAAAAAAAGAAATTTGAGGGAAAAAAGACAGAAAAGAGTGTGTGTGTGCGTATGTGTGTGCATATTTAGCTTAAAATGACAATGAAATTGTCAGTTAAAAATTCTAATTAAATGCTTGAGGGTGTGCAGACAGGAAATGGCTAGGTGCTCATCTGATTAGACATTATGATTCTGGGTTTGCGTATCTTGGAAAGTGGGGTGGGATGGATAGGTCATTATTTTTCATTCTTTTCTTCTTTTTGTGTGTGCCCATTTTGTAGTTTAATGCCTGGCAGAGAGCAGCTGCTATATAAAAATTTGTTGAAAGGATTTTAGGCATAAGAATTTACACATTTTACATGCTCTCTCATTTAAATAAACACTTATTAATGTCTTTGTTATCTTTACTTCATTAGCTAGTTATATATACTATAATTTACATAATAAATCTATTATTTAAAATCTTTTAGTAAGTACAATTGCAACATTCAGAGGGGCTGGACCCATTAATTTGCTTGTATGAGATTTATTTTGGAATCATATTATCCAAGCAAAGACAAAACATAATCTGCTCATATGACACACACACAAAAGAAAAAAGTGAGATAAATGTTATAGAAGTTTATCAATAACCTCTTATATACCCATCATTCTTTTCAATTTTCATTTTTTTGCAAGCTAAAAAACATTTAAAAGTTGGTCTACTGTTTTATTTACTGAACAAAGAAAACAAAATGAGTCATTTGAATTTCTGCATGGTTCTCACAAACTTTAAATTACTAGTGGTACAAATTATTTCAATGTTTACTAAAGGCAAAAAGTTCCCCTTAAAATGTGATGAAAGCTGACTGCAAACTCTGCGATCCCCTCCACTGCCTGGCTGACTTTCTGGGAGTGCATCCCAGAGGAGACTTACTGGAAGATACTTTCTCCTTTGGAACTTCCAGCTTTCCTCTACAGTGGCCTCTGCCTCCTTCTGGGGGCACACAATGGAAGTCTCCTATGCTGGGCCTGCAGGCTGGAGTCATCTGCTTCAGTGATTCACTTTTCTCTCTCAACAAAGAAGCCTGTTCCTCAGCTCTTCTCTTTCCTTCCCCCAAAATCTCAGTCCTTGACCTCTTGACCCTTCTCTCAATAATCTCACTGGCTTACTTACATTGACAGTCAGTAAGTTTACTATTTCTAAAAAGCATTTTCTTCATTTCCCCCTTTCACACAGGAGACACAATGCCCTACCCAGAATAAAGCATCCCTTTATATTGGAACTGTAGACATTTTGGAAAGGTAGCACACTTACAATTTTCTGACTCTGATCCTATTTCACAAATCTGTACTAATGCACAAGCTAGTTTTGTGCTTAGAATACTCTCTTGCTCTGCTTTACCAATCTGGGAAAATTCCTGCTCATGGCTCACACCTTTCCAAATACAATCTGCATCCAGAAAACTTTTCTGGACTCCAGAACTGGGGTGACAGAGGAGCCACTAACCCCTCGGAAGTTCACAAGCACTTAAAATGTAATCAGTTAAAACTAAGATGTGCTAAAACAAACCATATTTATAAGAGCATTAAAAATATAAATGATCTCATTGTTATACTGATTGCACATTGAAATGATAGTATTTTGCATATATTAGATTAAGAAAAATAGATTATCAATTTTATGGTTTTGACTTTTTAAATTGGCTAATTGAAAACTTAAAAATTAAACACATAGCTCATGTTTGTGGCTTACGTTAGATTTCTGTTGGGTAGTAGTGGTGCTCTAAGTTCAAGATCACTGTTTTGAACCTGTAGAGGGACCTGGAATGTAGGGTTGATTTGTGAATAAATATCGGTCTCAGTGTCTGTGGAGTGGCTCTTTGGTGTGAAATAATCTATGTTTTGGATGTATATCAATAATATATTTAAAGTTACCTATGAGGAACAGATGTACTAGGTCTTTGGTGTGTCATTCAAGTAGCATTAATCTTTCATCAATTGACTGAAATCTCCATTGCTTCCCCACTCACCCTTAACCCTGGGGACAAGAGAGAAACAGCATGATGATCTGAATCAGGGAACAGTGAGTTCCCCAGCACAGACAACTCTTTAACACAAAGACAGGAGCAAAAAGCAACTTTTAATGAGGCCGGTGGCTCAGTGAGTGTCTCCTGTCAGTCTTGAGAGCCTGGAACAGAAGTTTGCACTTCCTTATATACCACTTTTTACATATACAAAGCTTAATTCCATTGGAGTTTCCATGGGAATATAACAAACAGGATTTACACAAAGCAGAGCAGTGCGAGGGGGAGAGGAGAGTTCTCGCAGGACTTTCTGAGTCCATTTTGCTCTTTGGGTGACAGATTACAGAAGCTGTCATGGCTGTTCAGGTACATAGAGCATAGTTACCTAGTTAACCCATAGTTGCCTAATAACACAGTTAATCCATAGTTGTGTAATAACACAGTTAACTCAGTTGCCCAATTCCATATGGAAGGGTGGTGTCCTCTCTCATTCTATGTAGTTTTTTGTTGAGTCAACCAGCCTTACACCAAGCAGATAAAGTAGAAAGTGTTCCAGTTAAGCATGAACAACTGTGAGGGAAAAAGGAGAAAGGAAACTAATACTGTGCTGTACATAGTGCTATGCAGTTATATAGCTCAGCCAGAATTTCATGAATTGTACTCATTGGAACTTACTGGATTCTGAGAGATGTTCATAAATGTTGTGTTGAGGATGGGTAAGGAAAAGGAGGTTCTATGGTCAAATGAGATTGGAAAATGGTAGTCTAAAAAAAGTTAACTAGCTTTTTTAAAAAGTTAAAGGACTTTTCAAAGTCTTTAATATGCTATGAAATATTGCGACAGCTGAAAAGAGAAACATTGAATTCAGTGTTCCTCAACTCACCTGATCACAGAATTCTTTTTTAAAAATTTATTTTATTTTTAAAATTTTTTTGGTACCAGGGATTGAACTCCGGACCTTGAGCTTGCAAGGCAGGTGCTGGAACCACTGAGCTAAATCCCTGGCCCAACATAAAATTTTTTTTAAAGAAATACCTATCAACATTAGTTGGTAAAATTTGTCATAGAAAATGTCATTTAATCTACATTTTCCAGAAGAAAAAATTCTGCCTTGGGAAGATAAGTGACTTGGCCTATGTTTCAATGTTACACAACTGCTTTGTGGGTGAGGCATAATTTCAAATTCTCACACTAAAGGAAGGAATGAAATGTGATCAGAATAGGGACATACCATCATAAAGAATTCACAGTTCACACAGAGATTCACTTTAAAATGACTTAGTCACTTCCTCCCATGTATCCCAAGCTTCTCACTCGCATCTCTACTTTCTCTTTGGTCTCCTTGGATGAAAGAGGTCTCCTCTTGTAAATATTCCAGTATTTCTCCTTAGGATCTTGGCACATATTGCTTGATTTCTTGCTTCTTATATGTACACACTTTATCTTTCCAAATAGACTAGGGGGTTGCTGTAGAATTACTTTGAATTCCCTACAGTGTGTCTTTCACATAGAAGGGGCTTAATAGAACTTTCTCAATTTATTAATTATTATCAATAACTGGCTTAGCTACTTATAGTTTATGGTGTCTCTTTACAATATCTAAATGGTGAAGAAAAATTGGCTCTTGGTTCAGAGACATCATGTGTTCAATGAGATGCCAACCCCATATCAAATTGCTTGCTGTTAAAAGCTGGCCTACCTGTAAAATGCAACTCATGATATCGGATGCAATTTTTGCATGAGGAGTATCTTCATCTTTGCCGGAGGGTCTTAGGTTGTGTTCCAAGCAGGAGTCCCAGAGCCCCACAAGGGCCTTGGCATGCTTTTCAATGGATTCTGTCTCTCTGATGGCTGTTGTGATTCTTGTGATACAGATTTCAACCACAGCCTGGTCATTGTTATTGGTTTGGTAGTCCTATTTGGAAAGAGAACCTTCATGTTAAATAATACTCTAGAAAGTTATCCTTCAAAGGATGAAACACTAGCTAGGTCATTTAGAAAGCAGGTATGCCCTGCTGTGTGCTATGGAGTGAGGTTGTAGAGCCCAATATAATAACAGCCTTCTTCTTTAGAGACAGTAATCTTGTGGAAGAGAAAGATGTGCAGACATGGGAAAGTGGAGCAAGTTCATAACATCACCATAGGATGGAGCAAGGGGAGTTCAAAGAAGCTTAATTATTCACTAGCAGTGGGTTTAATCTTACAGCCACTTCAGTGTTTAATTTTGTTACTGGCAAAAGGTTACTTTTTAGTCTGACATTTCAGTAACATTTATGAAGTTTTATAAATTACTTTCCAATGTCTCTCTCTTTTGGGATACACTAGAACATATCATTTCATTTCTCCTTTTTTAACTAAAATTTGGCTTTCCTCAACCAAATTTGCCTTCATTTCTCTATTTTAATTCTCTCTTAGGTACCTCATCATCTTTACTGAGAAATAATATATCCTCTGAAATATCTAAATGTACAAACAAAATGCCTATCACTTTAATTTGGAAAATTGGCCTATGAACTCCACATGGGTGGCTCACAAAACTGAACACATAATACAATAGCAAAATGTTAGATTCTTACATCATCATGTACAATTAGAGATGGGAGGTGATAGGGCTTTTCTATCCACCTGCAAGTCCTGCTCTTAACTTTTTTTCTTTTTTAACTCCTAGGACATATGGGCCACTAAATACTTTGTGCATTAATTTCTGTCTAAATCATAGGTTGTTTGTAGCCTAGATTTTTCAAAAGTGGAAATTTCTGAGATAAAGGCAGGAGTATTTTCAAGGTTCGTGATATACTGTTTTTTGTTTTTTTCTTAAATTCTTTTATTGGTACATTTTAGGTATACAATACGTTTACATTTATCATTGGGTGCTTGTACCCATACATGATGTATCTTGGTCCTTATTTTTTCCCCATTACTTGTGAATCCTTCACCCCCTCCACCCGTCCCTATTTACATTGACTTCATTTTTTTTTCTTTTCTTATAATTTTTCCTTTCCCTTCTTTCCTTTCCCCTTCCACTCCCATCAACCCTACCCCTTTGGAACTTTTCTTCCTATTTCAAATTATCAATTATTCGTTTTAATCAATTTAACCCTTATTTACACTTTCAATTTCCCACACTAGAGAAACTATTCGACATTTACACATATGTGTCCTATTTATTTCACTAAGAGTATGGCCTCGACATGCATCCATTTAGTTATAAATGTCTCTAGTTTCTCATTCTTTATGGCTGAGTAGTACTCCATTTTATAAAAAAACCCACATCTTCTTTA